AATGAAGAGATGCTACATTCCTGAAGCAGGTTCTAGATCCATAAGTTAAAGAAAAATGAATTCAATCAATATATTTATTACCTGAAGAAACTATACTTCTCCATTGTATGCACTAAAGATATATTGAAGAAGATTCTAGGTGTCATATATTTTGTAATGCATAAAGGGACATAAACTGAAAACATGGGTTAAATGGAGTGTTAACCATTTGTTTCATGAAAATTGAGAAGAGGAGCTGCAGAACTGGCAGTAGCTTGGGTGGGGCATCAAGGATTTTGAACAGAGATGACAAGTGGTTAGAACTGAAATAGCTACAGCACTGGGCAGGGAAAGGTTTTCTTTCCAGCAACTTTCCATGCAAAATCTGTGCCCAGTGTTCCACCCAGCAGAGAAATCAAGAAGCGCAAATCAGTTGAATCATTCTGGAATTTGGGAATTAGAAATGGAATGGGGAAATAGCTGTCGAGAAACTTGTGTGCAAACACCCCTTGCAAGAATGAGATGAGCAAAATGAGAACGTCGCTGAAAGAGACACTACCTCAAGTTCTCTAGCACAGGGTAAATTTCACCTGTGAAGAATGGAGAAAAATATAGTTAAAACCATCATGCCTGCGCCATACTAGAAAAGAACTCAAGAATGAGGCTCAAATGGGAAAGAAGTAGAATAAAGTGAAGGTTATACAGGTAGCCCTCATTTAGTGACTGCCTCGTTTAGCGACTGTTCACCATTACAGTGGTGATGAAAAAGTAACTTTGCGATCAATCTGCACATTTATGCCCTTCACAGGTCTGTAAAGCAAAGGAAAGCTGAAGTATGATCGTAAGCAGAGTCATGGTTTCACTTAATGACCACTTCAGTTAATGACCAAGTTGCCAGACCCAATTGTGGTTGCTAAATAAGGACTACCTGTAATCAACAGCAGTAGAATAATAAGTACAATGACAAAAATATCCCTAAGTGCTGAGCAAGCTCCCCCCCACTGAAGATTCATCCTTGGCATTGATGCTTGGCAAGCAAAGCAT